GGGGGGGGGGGGGTGGCAGCTATGAGAGTAGACCCGCTTTCTTCGAGGCATCGTGAAAAGCTATCTTCGATGTAGGAACGGCGTCCTCTTGCGTTTTTCTGTCCAAGCTTGCAAATTGCAGGCATTCAGTAGCCCGAAATAGTCAAAGAATCGGAGCAGTACAAACACCATCCATGATCATCAAACAGCGTCCAGGGTACTCGGAACGGTAGCAGGAGGCCATCACCAGCAAAAAGAGACCGGTGGCTATTGCAAAACCTGCAAGGGAAGGCTTCCAAGGTTTAGAGTCCCGATTTGGCCACGCTAAGCCCTGAACCCTAAAACCCAAAAATCCCAATTTCTCCAAGACCGAGGATGCCCCAAACATTCTCATCATGAGTGCTCCCTCTACTATACCCCTGATATTAACCCTTCCGGGTTCTTTTAAAGGGATCCTTTAGGAGTTCCTTTAAAGGGGTTTAGGATTTAGGCTTTAGGGACCTTTAAGGGAACTCGATTAAAACGATGCCCGAAACAGTTGTTGTTTTTATTTGGAGGGTGAGGGGGGCCGTATGTAAGTCCTTGAATGGGTAGGCTATTCAAGGTCCAGGAAGCCCTGCACTTCTGCAAAGACCATAAGTGGAGCCCTCGATCCTAGACCTACAACGCCCAACCCTGTGCCAGACACGCTGGACAAGCAGAAGCACGATGCCTTCAACCCAAGCCATAAACACCCAACATAATCAAATCGGCAGCCCTCCAAAAGCGCAAGCGCTCGCACACACTCACCAACAACATGCTCAACCTACAAACAAGCCCCTTTCTTTGACAGGGTCGCCATTAATGGAGATGTTTGCGAGCCATGGATGGCTGCAGGGCATCGTGTGTGCTGGTGTACTCATACACCATGGAGGCAGCCAAATCCTGTCGCACCTCGTTGTGGAGGACCCGACAGGCATTTTCCTAGTTATGGTGGTCGTTGAAGATATCATGTACCAACAACAGCAGTAACACTGTAAGCTGTAATTGAGGAGCAGGAGGAGGAGGGGAGGAGCATCGTGCCGAGGGAACTTGCTGCTGTTCTACTTCAGGATGCCTGAAGTTTAAACTCCTTACCACAATCCTTGCACTCTGGACCGCTCGGCCCAGACGAGAAGATACTTGAACTCTTGACCCACGAACCCTGGACCAGGCATTGGTAAGAAGAGTGTAGCTACAAGGAAACATTGAGGTGCCCTTTGAGTAAGAGGATGCCTTCATTTAAGCCGTGAGCCCTAAACCCAAATCTCTACACCTGAAACCCGAAAGCGCCAACCCCAAACTCGAGAAGTTTTACAAGAGGAGAAGATGCCCTTCCACAACCCGGAGCATTCCTGCCCAACGAAGAGGGAGGCCGGACCCGTCCGGCTGTAGGTTGAGGGGTTTCTGTTTGGGAGTTAGGGTTTCGGGTTTTCTGTTTAGGGCTTTGGGTTTAGGGGTTCGGGGTTTTCTGTTTAGGGCTTTGGGTCTAGGGGTTCGGGGTTTCTGTGTAGGACTTCGGGTGTAGGGTTCAGGGGTTTCTGTTTAGGACTTCGGGTTTAGGGGTTTAAGGGCTTCTGTTTAGGACTTAGGGTTTAGGGTTTAGGGGCTTCTGTTTAGGACTTCGGGTTTACGGTTTAGGGGTTTCTGTTTAGGATTTAGGGTTTAGGGTATAGGGAACAATAGGATTGTATGCCAGGGCTCCTTATAAGGTTTAGGGTTCGGGTCTGCATAATAAGTTTGTTGGGCGAATGGTGGCCTCTTTCGAGTCTAGGGCGGATGGGCACGGGTTTAGGGTGCACGATGTATCATCTTGGCTTAAGAGATTAGGGTCTTGTGCTTTAAATTTTGACCGTTGACTCTTGGGTTTAGGTTTGGGTGTAGTTTTAGTGTCTTGGGTTTAGGGTTCAGGGTCTGGGGGTATAACGATCGTTTGGCTTGCCTTTAGGATTCAGGGGTTTAGGGTTTAGAGTTTGGGGTAAAGGGGGGGTGGGTACTAATTGCTGCATATATGAACCTGCGGAACTCTAGGGGTCTTTGGCTTATACAAACACCCTTGAGTGTCAAAAATGTAAACTTGTACAGCGCCCTCCGGTTTGCTGCAACCCCCAGCCTCAGCGGGTTTAGGGTTAAGGGTTTAGGGTTTAGGGATGCAAACCCTGCTTGACTGTGCTGGTGCAGGTGGACTGGCCATCACTGAAGGCGGGGGCAGAGTCATCGAGCTACCACCGCCACCACCACCACCACCCCACCACCACCACCACCACCACCACCACGACGACTACTACTACTACTACGACGACTACTACTACTACTACCAGTAGCATCTCTGGGCCCTGTACCTCACACGAAGCCCTAAACTGCGAAATCTCTCATAAGGGATTCCTGATAATGGCAAGGAGGAGTCTCTCGCCACTACAGAGCTGGAGACACTTTTTGTTACCATTGTCTCTTTCTCTCGTCCCTGCATCCTGGGGTTTAGGGTTTAGGGTTTTGGGTTTAGGGTTATGGGTTTAGGGTTTAGGGTTTTTAGGGCTTGGGGTTCAGGGTTATGGGTTTAGGGTTATGGGTTAAGGGTTATGGGTTTAGCGTTAAGGTTCAGGGCCGTGACATGGTCACGATACTTCAAATAACATGCACCAAACCGTTGCACAATTATTCAGACCCCTCTTGTCGTCATTGTTATGTCTATCGCTTCCCCATACCATGATTCTCCAGTCTAAACCCCAAGGCTGCAAACACGGTGCGATAATAAAAAACCTTGAAGTCCTTATTCAGGATCTCTACTTCAAGTATATCGCAGAAGCATGCTGGAACCTCAAGGAATCATGTTGCTAAGTTCAAGGTACCCCTAACCTTGCACTTTAAGGTTGAATCAATTGCGTAACCCCTCCTTATACCCTTAAAGTACCCCTTAATAGTAACCCATGTAGTAAACCTTATAAGCAATCTTCAATCTGATAACCCCAAGCCCTGAACCCTAAGCCCGACACTCTAAACCCTCTAAGCCTTAAATCCGAGACCCTATAAATCCGAAACCCTAAACCCGAACAGCTTATTGTTAGACCGATTTAAGGAACCGTTTTTGGAAACTGAAATGCCCTACTGGACCCCAAAACCCAAACCCTAAACCCTAAACCCTCAACCCACATCTTTATAGACCCCTTCAAGGAGCCCCTATAAACCCCATAAATCCTAAACCCAAATCCTTATAGATCCCTTTTTGTTCTTTGTAGACCCTTTTAAGGAGCCCCTATAAACCCCATAAATCCTAAACCCAAATCCTTATAGACCCCTGTTTGTTCTTTGTAGACCCCTTTAAGGAGCCCCTATAAACCCCATAAATCCTAAACCCAAATCCTTATAAACCCCTTTTTCTTGTCCTTTGTAGATCCCTTTAAGGAGCCCCTATAAATCCTATAAATCCTATGAACCCTAAATCCTAAACCCAAATCCCCGTTTTGAAACCCTATGCACCCTTATAGATCCCTTTAAGGAGCCCTATAAATCCTATAAATCCTATAAGCCCTTATAGATCCCTTTAAGGAGCCCCTACGAATCCTATAAATCCTAAACGGACCCCTTTTTGTTCTTTGTAGATCCCTTTAAGGAGCCCCTACAAACCCTATAAATCCGCAGGCCGAGTTGCACTTCTACGCCAGCCAGGCCCCGCCGCAGAGGCGACTACTGGACTCGGAGAACGCGGCCTTCGAGTGGAGGCCCGGGTTCCCTTTTTGGGGTTTAGGGCTTTAGGATTTTGGGGTTTTGGGGTTTGGGGTTTAGGGCTTAGGGTTTTGGGGTTTAGGGGTTTAGGGTTTTGGGGTTTAGGGTTTTAGGGTTTTAGGGTTTTGGGGTTTTGGGTTTTCGGGGTTTAGGGTTTTGGGGTTTAGGGTTTTAGGGTTTTGGGTTTTCGGGGTTTAGGGTTTTGGGGTTTAGGGTTTTAGGGTTTTGGGGTTTCGGGGTTT